AAACGTTTATGTTGACTACCGTAAACCGTTTAACGAGTTAATATATGATAAGTATTGGGAATCATTTTATAGATTAAATATCCCTTGTTTAATCGCTTACGTTTCTGAGCATTTTGTTTATACGCAATGATGCGCAGATCTGAAGGTTGGCGGATCTTTATATCCGGATCCCACAAAAGACAAGATATCTTGAATTTTCAGACTGGATATCGGACACGGATATACAAACATTTCCCTAGATCCGCCAACAAAAAAAACATCTAACCACCCATCAAGACAACCAAAAGACCTAACAAAAAATTTAGTCAAACCAAGAATAAATTAAATTAACAATATAAACACTAGTCAACCCCAACAAATAAACAAATAAATAACGAAGAATCCACACCAAAATACTAAATCACACACCCTCCTCTTTCTTTAAGAAACCGAAGCTTAACCGTAAATAGAAAAAGAAACCAAGAGCGCATATACATATAAAAAGGGAATTTTAAAAAAAAAGAAATTTTTAGAAATAAAAATTAAAAAAGAAAATTTTTATTGAAAATAAAATTAAAAAGAAAACGCGTTTAAGAAAAAGAAAGAAGAAAAAATTAATTTTAAAAAATACTCGAAAATAAATAAATCGGAAAAATGAATAAAATCCTATTTTTTCGGTTTAAATAGTATAATTTGAAAAAAATCCCTAAACGACAAAATGAAAACAACAAAAATGCCAACAACAAAAATGGTATAACAACAAAAGAGAGCCTTTTAAATAAAGTTGTGATAACTCTTAGAAAGGAGGGATGGATGTAGAGATAAAGAAAGATTTTAAAACATAAACTCCACCCATTTTTCCCGAAATATATATAGTTAAGACTTTTGTTGTTTGTGTGCCATTCCCATTCCTTCCCCCACACTTTCCATTGTATTTCCTAGCTAGTGCAACGTTAACCACTCTGCCCCTTTTTGCTTCACATTTACACTTTATTTTTGGAAATAAACATTTTACTGGATATTTTTTTGTTTTTAATCTTATCCCCAAAACAAAAAGTTAAAAATTAAAAAAAATAACTTTAGACCCTCACACAGATACATTAGTCCCTTGTTTTAATGAAAATAATCAAAATCTTGAAAAGGGCATTTTAGTAAGCAAAGGTAATTATTTTGACGAAGATTAAATACTAGTAGGAAAGACAATCTGTAAATGCAATAATGTTTATGCTAGAATCCGAAATGGTTTTTCGAAAAATAATTTTGTTCCCCGCAAAATTAAAAGGCTTTTATGAAGTATTGGAAAATAATAATATTGAAGAAATATTTTCAAATACACTAATAACTGGAGAAAATAACAAAGTAGTTAAGACAAGGCCAGAATAAAAAAATAAATTGGGAAAACTTGGAGAAAAACATAGATTTTAAAAATTCTGTTTATCTGAAAAAGCTAAAAACGAATAAAAAAAATTTTTATAAAAATAGTAAAGCCTTTGTGGGAGAAGACGGTAAATAGGATTTTTCAATGGCCCCATTCAACATAAAATCGAATTAATTGACGAAAAACACGTCCAACAAAGACCCTACAGAATCCCGCCAGGATTACAAGAAGAAGTCTCCAAAATATTTCCGCACATGTTTAAATACTTCACCCAAGATAATTTTGCTAATTTTAAATAGAAATAACCTCCCGTTTCCCAACAATCTAAAATTTTTTTCAAAAATTTTAAAATGTACTTTAATTATTAGAATCACTAGTCAATTATATTTTTGTCAAAAATTTTTTGAACGATTATTTTTAAATGTTAATTATTTATTTAATTATTTTTGATAAGTGTAAGATTTACCGAGTATTCTTTGATAAATAATTTGTTTTTAATTCTTTAATTGATATGAATTTTCCGCCGTAAAACAATTAGACACAGCAACATAACCTGCAACCAAGAGCCGTTTCAGTGAATACTGAATTTTCCTACTTTTCTTTTTACTCTATTTTTTCGCGTGCTATTTTTATAAGAATATTGTCATTTTTGAGCAGCCAGCTTTGAGAAGATTTTTCTCGACAAAACGATGGATCTTTAAAATTCTGTCTGGCAAAAACAAAGATAATACACTAAAGATACTTTAAAAAAATAACCCCTCAAATATAATCATCTATTTTGTATAATCATCCATTTTGTATTAAGCGCTTTTAGAATTAGTTTAGCCAGTATCCAGTTCCAAAGTTCGGCTCGTCGAGCTGAGTCGAAGGTACCACTATAAAGTCATAGAAATGACATTGGACCGAGATACATGCCTTCGCTTCAAAACGGGCTAAGACTCTAACTAAGACTCTAAAGATCTGGTTGCAGACTTTGCCTATTTTAAGTTGCTGTGGTAGAGATATTTAATTACATTTAATAAGTTTAAATATTTACTGCTTATTTAAAAAATAATATGCTTTTAATTGATACACTTTTTGCGGTAAAACAATTAGATATTTAATATAAATTATGTTAATTAACAGTTTAATTACTTTTTAATAATTTCAAAAAGTCGCAGCCTGGTAGTTGACTAACTAATTAGTTTTTACTTACTTCATAGCCTTTCAGCCAACCTGCTAGCAATAAAATTTACTGAAAACGCTGACCCGTTATTGCTTTAGTTGAGCTCAAAATGAAAATTTTAAACAAACACTAAGTGGTCGAAAAACTTTTTTAAATTTGAAAAACCCCGTCTTAAGTTGATTTTCACGGTATCGAGAGCTCGCCACCGAAATGAGACTAATGTCTAGTAGGAAAGAATTTTTACATCAATTTAGGGGGTGAGTATATTTTTTTGACAGTGTGTATGATAACAATAACACTCGTAACAATTTGAAAAATCTTTGTTTAAAATTTATCGTAACAGTTTAAAAATAAAAAAATAATAAAAAAACAGATTTAGAAAAAAGTATGTCTTAAAATAAAAAGTTTGAATTATAAAAACTTGTAGATTTAGACGTCCGGGGAAAAAAGTTCCGGTTTGGCAAAAAATACCAGAACTGGAACAAAAAAACCCCAGACAGTTGGATCTCACTTATGCATACCCAAACATGTGTATTCCTTTCATTCATATATTCGATTTCTGAATTTATCTGGCACAAGGCAGACGGTCAACGATATACCTTGGGGTACTCAACTGGCGGTACTCAACGACCCAACCGATATATTTTTGCATCATTCCAAAATATTTTAAAAAATTATTATCCACTTCCCAAATGTCCACTTCCCAAATCTCCACTATCTGACTGTCCACTATCTGTCTGTCTACTCTCTAAATTTCTGTACACTGCCCATGCTATATAAAATCACTTAATAAATTAATAAGTGTACATAAGTGAGATCTTACTATAATTGGAAGAAACATGAAATATAAAAGGAAGGACATAAAAACAAGGCTTAATAGGTCTCCTCTCTATTAAATTTCTACCTTTGAATTTTGCAAAGCTCAGCGGGAAAATCGATTGATTTTATTCAAATGATCTTGATAAAGTTTGGAGAAATTTTTTAGAAAATTGACTCTACTTCGTAATTTGAATTAAGGAGACGGTGGAGGGGCCAAGTTAGGGAAATAAATGAAAGCCAACATCATCCATCCCATTGCAAAAAGATAAACTTTCAACAGAAACCAAATAATGGCAAACCAAGGTCCACAATTTTCTGGGTCTAATAGTTCCTCTCGAGCTATTCCTTTTCCTTTATCTTCAGGCTGCCTTGATGTTGATCCCCTATGTGGAGAACGAGTTGGTGTTCTATGATGTGGACGATGTGGACTACGCTGTGGTGTGCCTTGCGGAGTACGCATTCCACGTTTCTTGCGTGAATAAATTTCTTTTAAGAAATTAGCTGAGCGTTTTTTACGAGAAATAGCACATCCACATTTAGGCATGCATTCAGGCTCTTGAGATGTATCTACATAAATAATGAAAAGATTAACACAACCAGTAATTTCTCGATTAATATAACAATTTTTACCTTCCGCTCGAGCCGGAATCCTTCCTCCATATGGCGAAGTCGAATAGGTTTGACCTTCCTGTTCTGGTTGTGTTGATGTCTGGCCTTGTTCAAACTGTGCACGACATAAAAATAAATCTTGATTATTTCCATATATTCCCGTAATTGGAGTATTGAAGATAGCTAGAATTACAGAAAATTATTATATAAATTATTTATATTCCATATTTTTTCTTATATATCTATCGTCTAAAGGACAGACATTCGGGCAATGTGTTTTTTCCTGATGCGTAGGCAATGATGTATATTTTGGGAATTATTACATAAAACTAGAATAGCCGGACATTCAATTAAGAATTAATGTATATTTGCCAAAATACTCGACAACTAATGTGTGTAACAGGGAGCGAACCGTATTATATATATCGGGAAATTTGTTTTTTTTTGTCGGCTCATTCCCTGATGCGTAGTAAATGATGATATCATAAATAGATATTAATTTGATTTTCTAGATTAACCTTCGTTTATGTTTCCATTTTTCGGACTTATTCGCATCTTTGGATACTTTTCTCCATTAGCTAGTCCATTATACAAATAAAACCAAAATTCAGTAATATTAACGCCTGATTGACTATTATATTCTTTTGTTCTATAGTTTTTGATGTTTTGTATTTCATTTGTAAACCGTTCTGAACTGCGCACTTAATAATAATGTTTTTAGAGTACTTTATTCATATTCCGCCTTATCCGTATTTGAGTCGCATATTAATCTTCCTTATTATGCCAAAAAACAACGTTTATAAAGAAGGAAAGTTGATAATTCCGTGGCAGATGAAGATTAAATGGAAAATTAATCTGAGACTCAAATAAGAGTGGGGCTGGGATATGAACAAAATAATACTTTTCTCTGAATAAAAAACTTTTAATTTAGTTTGTTTCTTAAAGCATCCCCTTTTGGGTCTTAACTAATCATAGCCTCGGGTTGTAGACTTACATTTAGATTTTCTCACTCATAGTTATGATCGACACGCTTATGCCTGACCATCGGTTCTAAAAAACAGTTGGGTACTTATCGACAGAGTGAGAAAAACATTGACCCAACTGCAGCTTTGTAAAAGAAAAGGGGCGGAGCAAAAGGGGCGGAGCACATGGGACATAAACTGCACAAGTACACATACCTCTAGTTAAAATAGCATTAAACCAATCTTCATCGTCGTTAAATTCATCCTCTTTACCGGATTCTCTAAACTGTATGTAAAAGTTGCCGAAATTATCTACTTTCCAATAATGACATTTACGTCGCCAAAATATACGCTTAGCCATTGGTAATGCAACATGTATCAAATGTGCAAGACCATGGTACGTGTAGAGTGACAAAGCTAATAGCGATACTTCATGCTCTTTGTTTGCATCACTTAATGTTTTGTATAAGTTTGAATAACGTTAAACAATTTAAACGGAAGTTTACTTATTGATGTGTCAGACCTTGCAGGATGAATACAAATGAATAATAATACCCTATCTTCGGTTTGGAAGGTGGCACAGTCTTTATGCTTAGGTTTGGGCTCATCATGATGGTTTTTGTTGTGTATGGGCGTCAGCCCTTAAAGTATTTACTATAAAAGCCAGAGAAAACGTCAGTCTATCCAGATCATACTAGCGGGGCTAGTCACTGATCTCCTTCGTCTGTCCCATTCCCTTCGCCCACTTATTGTTTATTTCCTATTGTGATAAAGTGTTATTATTGTGCTCGTCGCATTAGTTAAACCTCGGACACTTCGGGTCGTAACAAATGGCGCGGTCGACAAAAGTGAAGTGTGGCGAAGTGTAGTGAATTGCTTTTAGCAATTAGTGAAGTGATTGTTTTGAGTTTGAGTGGACAGACGTCGTAATTAGTGATCGGCATGAGTCGAAGTGAAATGAGTGAATTGTGAGTTAGTGCGCATGGACTGTGTGAGTGATGATGCGTGATGACTGCGCAGGACTCAGTTCGAGTGCCAATGGTCGGATTTTAAGGCCGAAATGCCTAGTTTAAGGCTGAAATGCCTAGTGGTCCTAGAAGTGCGCAGATTTTGGCCGATCAAGTTTTGAAGTGTCAGGCATTCAAGAGAATGTAAGTCCAGAAATTGAGAAAAAGGAAAAGTGTAAAAAGAGTGAAAAAATTTGGCAGCCTAAAAGGTGGGTAAGACCAAATAATGAAGTGAATTGTTAGTGAATAAAGCGAAGTTTGGCAGCCTAAGGGTGAGTAAGACCAAATAATGAGCTTTGAGTTGATAGTGGATAAAGCGAAGTTTGGCAGCCTAAGGGTGAGTAAGACCAAATAATGAGCTTTGAAATGTGATAATAGTGAATTGAAGTGAGTCAAGGCGCTGAAGAGTGAATATTATTAGTGATTGAAGTATTCCAGCGCAAGTGAGTGAAGCAACCCAGACTACACATAGTGTAAGTTCAGTGAAGTGTTGCGGTACCTGAGTCTTTGACAGCGGCAGGATGTAACAGGCATCCTTTGAGTGGTTAGTTAGTAGTAGTATTCGAGTGTTAGTATTAAACCACGAGCCATCCTAAAAGTACACGGGAAAACGGCACCGAACTGCACACTAACTATATGTTAGTGTTGTGGTGTTTGACTTCATTTAAGTCGTGAAAGAGTGATAGTGATGCAATTCAGTGAAATTTTATTATTGAGCACAGTGTTGAAAAGTGAATGTAGTGCCACAATAGAAAGTAAGAAAAATAAAAGTGAAGTGAGAAAAAATAAAATAGTGAAGAAAAGTGAACAATAAAAGTGAAAGCTTATGGACAAGCAGTGTGATGATCAACAGTGTTGCCTTGATGTGAGCTGCTGTATGCACTGTAGATGTCCGCTGCCAGAAAAAAAATAAAATGTGGAATAAGATGACAAATTTTGTGATTATTTTGTAATTGTTGTAATTTTAATTTGTTTTTTTGTTTTGCCCTTTTGTCATCCCACATTTTTGTATTTTGTTGTGAGTTGAGTGTTAGTGAGAGACTAGACGCTCTGGCTTAGTGTTAATTGTATTGATAGCATGGAAGCTATAGTGAATGTTAAAAGTTGTAAAGCTTCGGCTTTAAGTGAAAGCCGAACCTTTTTTTCAAGGGGGGAGGTGTTGTGTATGGGCGTCAGCCCTTAAAGTATTTACTATAAAAGCCAGAGAAAACGTCAGTCTATCCGGATCATACTAGCGGGGCTAGTCACTGATCTCCTTCGTCTGTCCCATTCCCTTCGCCCACTTATTGTTTATTTCCTATTGTGATAAAGTGTTATTATTGTGCTCGTCGTATTAGTTAAACCTCGGACACTTCGGGTCGTAACAGTTTTATTCCACGGCATTAATAGTGTCGACAACTTGGATGGGCGGTTTCCTATTATGCACGATCTATGGAACGATCCTGCTGATTAACTGGATAACACAAAGAATCAATTTTGCTTTTTCTGTGATGGTTTACTCTATATCAATAGAGTTTATTAAAAATATATGCTAACCTTGAAATTATATTATCATCAAAATATGGTTTTGAAACTAATATTTCTTCAAATCTTTCCATTATATTACTGGTACTTTTTAGTGAATTTTCTCCATCTTTAAGATCGTCACCACCGTGACCGGATATTCCTCGTATTAACCTTTGAAAATCATTTTTATTATCATAGACTTCACGTGCTGAGCCCATAAGATTCTTCAATTCAGTTATTCTATTAAACAAATTATATAGAAATACATCCTTCAAAATGCGCAGATAAAGTTCTCCATTTGTAGCTGCGCTGACATAAACGGGGTAAAAGTTGTGTTTAATATTTAATTTATTGAAGTTATTGACAGTTCCAAAATCATATTTTAAATTTGATATCCAATAAATTTTCATCCAATAAAGTCTATTAAAAATAAAATAAATGTCTAGTTTATGGTCCCGAGGAGAAAAATGAAGCCGAGTCTAATTGTATCAAAATTATGATGTTTCGACAACTTGCCTGATTTGTATAAGGAAGTCTAACCAAGAGGTATTTAATTGATCAAAATTCTTAAAATCGCTGAAACAGACTAATATTCATATCATTAAACTTAGTTCGAAGAGACGCGTTAGAATAGATATTTAGCGGGTGTTCCCCGTCAGTCTAAACCTCTATTGATAAAAATAAACAATCATCCCGAAAATATTTATTTTTAAAACAATGATAGAAATGAAGGGGAAAGGCTCGACAGGGTGTAAGGGGATAAGCAAGAGGGAGAAGAAGAAAAAGCAAGGAAAGTAATGAACTGAGTCGGGGAAAAGGTGGCTGACACAAAGCAAAATGAGTAAATGTATGTGAGGGATATGGCATATCAAAATATATATATCGTTTTAATCTTTCATCTGTCATTATAGTCAAAATACATATCTTAATGTCAACCCCGAATTCGACTTGTTCTAATTCGGATCCGAAGTTCGAAATAAACAATATCGAAAGAGTATTTCTTCCTTTCTCAGGGCCGGTAATCTAGATTTTTACCAAAATAGTATTATTGTAGTTGATCTCGATATAATAAAAGTGGAGTTTAAGCATCTAGAGATATGAATAAGAAGCAGTAATGATTATGGTTGGAGCTAGTATTTCTATGTAAATGCCTGTTTTTTCGTCAAAAAGCTTAAATCTGAAACGGTCAAATCATGTCTTATTTTGTTGAAATTTGCTTTCAAACTACTTTTATCGTTGCCTTAAGTGCCTATATTATACTTTTCTGGTGAAATGATTATTATGACTTTTTTCAGCATATTTGGCATTTTTCATGAAATTCTTGCTCAATCCTTTATTTATTCTTAAAAATTCATAAAAATTTTAGCCCAAAAAATTATTACTTTAAGTTGAATACTTGTAATTCTGATCGTCAGAATTAAACCTATTATTGCATACAGGGTGACAATAAAGTAAAAAAAAGAAAAGAGGAGAAAGGCTTAGGGTTTGTGGGATGAAAACTACAAACATGCTGAATTTTGGTTAAAAAGTTAAATACCTGTGACCCTCACGCAAGACATTAGAATCGGGACACATTTCTTCAATCCATTCATACAAATTTTCAAAAAATCCATTCATTTCAAATGTCTCTCCAGCATGTGTAGGGTAGGAATAAAAGTCTATTTGTTCAAAGTTTGTATAGTGCATACGAGGTGCTTAACAATTAAATTTAAAAATAAATTAAAAAATGTTTTAACTTAATTCAAATGCTCTGAAAAAAACATTGTTGATAAATAGGCCGTTTGGATTTGCATTCTGTATAATTCCTCGAATAACGTCTTTTCTTACTGTATAGTTTACTTGTGCAAATGATGATTCTGCTTTAAACCCCATCATTATAGAATATATTAATTCTTCCGAAACGATGGAAATGATTAAATTTTGATCATATCCGCTATAAGCATTGACATATCCATTCATCGCTAATATACTGAAAATATATAGAACTATGTATGTACTTTATTGGCATATCTAAACACTCATCGCCAGTTTAAACACACTAATGGATGAATCACCGAGGGCAAGGACTGTAATTTTCTTTTATAAATCCCCAGAACTCGACCTTGCTTACACTCATGCAAGTGTATCTTTTGCTTTCTCCTGTCTCAATATTCATCGATTAACTCCTAAGCTTTTTTTCTTCTAGATGAAGCTTCTTATAATAATTCTCGGGCATAATTACTCTTTGATAGATCACGCATAGGCGTTTTAAATGGTTTGTTTGAGGGTATCTCCGGAGTACCAAGGTATTACTTTTTGGGGACCTTTTGGTAGTCTATTCCAAGGTCATGATTTCCAATTTTATACCTGCATCCCGCTTGAATTAATAAATATCTATTAGAAAATCGTTCAGTAAATAGTTTGTAATAATTAATATCCAATTGAATAGCACACAAATTAGACCACGCTGTTTCGTTCGAAAAAGATGAGAAGGTTCTTGCAAATTCTTGTAATGTAAACTGAATTGAGGGGGAAATTAGTTATTAGAAATTTTCTGTAAGAATGTCCCTCTTTTTTCAAGTCCCTTTTTTCCTCCCCAAGTTTTTCCTTATATGTACAGAATGGTCAAACTTTTTACTTTCTTCCTTCCCAATTGCTTTTCTTTCCTTGTGAAAGAAAGATAAAAAATAATCGTCTTTGATTGTTTGTGGGCAAATATAGTCAGGAAGAATATAAAAAGTCAAACCATTCTTTACATATAAGAAAAAACTTGTAGAGGAAAATATGTGGACGGGAAACGACACTTTTAACAAAAATTGCAATAATTTTTAAAAATAATCTTAATAAATTTACATTATCAGTTTGATGTTGGTATTTTCCATTAAATCGAGTATTGAGAAAATCTATTTCATCTTGGCGAAGCTCATATATCAAGTTGAAAAAATTGAGAAATTTAATTGTTCCGGAAAGAATTTCTGTCAACTTGTATATAAGACGCAGTTCCTGCAATGAGCTTTTATAGCTAAAATTTTGAGTTTTGTATTTAATGGACACAATAGAATCTTCATAAAATTTAGGATAAACACATAGTCGTAGTAGAGACCTGAATTTTGTACTGACCGTATTCCGTACTGTAATACCGATAGAGTTCATCGGTATCACATGTAATCCTCCCAAATCTATAACCAAAATTATAAAATTTACTGTACATCAGTGTTCTGTGTTGCTGCCATTTGAAAGAAGAATTTACGTCGCACATTGTATATCCACCCTTGTCCAAATAAATGAGGATTTCCAGTCGACATGAATTTTATCGAATCAACCGCAAGAAAGATTGGTTTTGTCAATAGAAATGCTCTCATGAAATTTTTAAAAATGTCGATTTTTTGTTTTTCATCAACTAAATTTATTGCAAAACAAAACTTGGAAATTAAAGTTTTTTAAATATTCTTAAAATAAATTTTATGCGTTCCTAAGTTAACCTAATTTAATATGCTTTTCCAATGGTGCCGTGTGATTTGGGCAGTGGTGAATTGGGCAGTGAGTTAATTGGGCAGTGAGTAATTTGGGCAGTGAGTGATATGGGCAGTGAGTGATATGGGCAGTAAACGTTTTTAAAAAAATGATTTTACACACAAAAACAACTTGAGTAACACTTGAAAAATAATTTTGAGTGATTTGGGCAGTAACTTAAAATTTTTAAAATTATAAACACACAAAAATTCAAGGTACCATGTCCAAATTTTTTCATTTGCCAACCTTCACAGTTGTGGGAACAATATTACCATTTGTCGTAATTATTTTGGCCCAATTTCTGACGTTTCCCTAACTGTTAATTAGATTTAAGCTACGAAAAATTGACAAATAAGTTCCTATTCCAAGTTTTTAGGTCTCAAAATAGGTCAAAAATATCTGAAAAAGGTAATTTTGCCCAAGATAATTTTGCTAATTTTAAATAGAAATAACCTCCCGTTTCCCAACAATTTTAAAATTTTTTTCAAAAATTTTAAAATGTACTTTAATTATTAGAATCACTAGTCAATTATATTTTTGTCAAAAATTTTTTGAACGATTATTTTTAAATGTTAATTATTTATTTAATTATTTTTGATAAGTGTAAGATTTACCGAGTATTCTTTGATAAATAATTTGTTTTTAATTCTTTAATTGATATGAATTTTCCGCCGTAAAACAATTAGACACAGCAACATAACCTGCAACCAAGAGCCGTTTCAGTGAATACTGAATTTTCCTACTTTTCTTTTTACTCTATTTTTTCGCGTGCTATTTTTATAAGAATATTGTCATTTTTGAGCAGCCAGCTTTGAGAAGATTTTTCTCGACAAAACGATGGATCTTTAAAATTCTGTCTGGCAAAAACAAAGATAATACACTAAAGATACTTTAAAAAAATAACCCCTCAAATATAATCATCTATTTTGTATAATCATCCATTTTGTATTAAGCGCTTTTAGAATTAGTTTAGCCAGTATCCAGTTCCAAAGTTCGGCTCGTCGAGCTGAGTCGAAGGTACCACTATAAAGTCATAGAAATGACATTGGACCGAGATACATGCCTTCGCTTCAAAACGGGCTAAGACTCTAACTAAGACTCTAAAGATCTGGTTGCAGACTTTGCCTATTTTAAGTTGCTGTGGTAGAGATATTTAATTACATTTAATAAGTTTAAATATTTACTGCTTATTTAAAAAATAATATGCTTTTAATTGATACACTTTTTGCGGTAAAACAATTAGATATTTAATATAAATTATGTTAATTAACAGTTTAATTACTTTTTAATAATTTCAAAAAGTCGCAGCCTGGTAGTTGACTAACTAATTAGTTTTTACTTACTTCATAGCCTTTCAGCCAACCTGCTAGCAATAAAATTTACTGAAAACGCTGACCCGTTATTGCTTTAGTTGAGCTCAAAATGAAAATTTTAAACAAACACTAAGTGGTCGAAAAACTTTTTTAAATTTGAAAAACCCCGTCTTAAGTTGATTTTCACGGTATCGAGAGCTCGCCACCGAAATGAGACTAATGTCTAGTAGGAAAGAATTTTTACATCAATTTAGGGGGTGAGTATATTTTTTTGACAGTGTGTATGATAACAATAACACTCGTAACAATTTGAAAAATCTTTGTTTAAAATTTATCGTAACAGTTTAAAAATAAAAAAATAATAAAAAAACAGATTTAGAAAAAAGTATGTCTTAAAATAAAAAGTTTGAATTATAAAAACTTGTAGATTTAGACGTCCGGGGAAAAAAGTTCCGGTTTGGCAAAAAATACCAGAACTGGAACAAAAAAACCCCAGACAGTTGGATCTCACTTATGCATACCCAAACATGTGTATTCCTTTCATTCATATATTCGATTTCTGAATTTATCTGGCACAAGGCAGACGGTCAACGATATACCTTGGGGTACTCAACTGGCGGTACTCAACGACCCAACCGATATATTTTTGCATCATTCCAAAATATTTTAAAAAATTATTATCCACTTCCCAAATGTCCACTTCCCAAATCTCCACTATCTGACTGTCCACTATCTGTCTGTCTACTCTCTAAATTTCTGTACACTGCCCATGCTATATAAAATCACTTAATAAATTAATAAGTGTACATAAGTGAGATCTTACTATAATTGGAAGAAACATGAAATATAAAAGGAAGGACATAAAAACAAGGCTTAATAGGTCTCCTCTCTATTAAATTTCTACCTTTGAATTTTGCAAAGCTCAGCGGGAAAATCGATTGATTTTATTCAAATGATCTTGATAAAGTTTGGAGAAATTTTTTAGAAAATTGACTCTACTTCGTAATTTGAATTAAGGAGACGGTGGAGGGGCCAAGTTAGGGAAATAAATGAAAGCCAACATCATCCATCCCATTGCAAAAAGATAAACTTTCAACAGAAACCAAATAATGGCAAACCAAGGTCCACAA